ATCATCCCATATGTGCTCAATGCCTGGTGCCTGCCAGGATTTGGAATATTCTCTCTAGAAGTTAACAATATTGCTTCATGATAAAGGGTATCAAAATAGTCACATTCTGGGAAGATTGTTCTGTCTTTTGCTTGGACTGGGTTCATCTTTAAACTCTTAATTTTCCATTCTTAGAAACTCTACTAAGGGAAACTGGAGTGAGGAGAGGCTATATTCTGGGGAGTAATTGGCCAAATTAGAGAAGTACCTAACATGTGGAAGAGAAGTCATGCAGAAAGCGATATTCCTAGGAACCTGTATTTGTAGTGACATTTTATTTCAATGTCAACTCTGAGGTCGACAGAACCTCCTTGTCTGTGAGGACAAAAAGATAGAGTTCTTCCTTTCTGGGGCTTCATCCACTTTCTGCTGCCCGTTGGATCTGTGATTGTCTTGCATGTCTGTTTTTCAGTGCCTGTGGCTTCCCTGCTATGCTAATTGTGCCACCTGTAATGATATGTGTCTTTTTATTCACAGGTGTCCTGGGGAAGTGTCGCTACATTTACTACGGAAAAAACTCGGAGGGCAACAGGTTTATCCGGGATGACCAGCTCTGAAACCAAGTTCTGTATACCTTCACCCATTTCATGAAAATAAAATCAAAAGGGAAATCAAAAATAAAGACAACGCTAAAGAAAAAACAATAGCCCACGTCGCCTCTCTTTGGGAAAAGCTATGACTTCAGCTTTTGGAACCTTCTGCTGACTTTGCCAGGCCTGTCAAGATGATCCTTCTGCCTTAGACTGAGTGGTCACATAGAGATTGACATGATTGCCCTTAAGCAGGTCTCATCCACCAGGGTGACAGACAGCGGTGGCGAAGCAACGGGGCTGACAGCATGAGCACCATGATAGATTGCCTGGTCCTGCCACTGCTCACAGGGGAGCAGAGGTCACACCTGGGGCCTCCCTGGGCATGCTCAGTGGCTGCAGTCAAGTGAGAAAGACTGTCTTCAGCTCACCTATTGAGCTGAAATCCCTCTGATATCATCGTGCTGCGGGCTTATTTTCAGTGAAAAAGTCACAGTTTAGGGGAAGGCCACTCTCCCTCTCTTCCTTTAAATCTTCACCTCCTGTATTCTGCATATACATAGCTCCCATCTCTTCCCCTCCACATTCCTTTAGCATCATTTTTATGACAGGTGCAGTTTTTCAGAGAAGAAGGTATAACTTCCCAGCCAGGTCATACATTTATGGCTGGCTTCGTGTTGCTACAATCCCTTTATTGGAGTAAATAGCTTTCCCTAAATCCCTGACTACAAAAGCATGGACTTTTATCTTGTTTCATTCAACTCTAAATCCACTTCTTGCCCTGAATATGATGCAGTGTAAGGCAGCAAGACATCTTTCTCAGCACGAGGGTTTGGTTGCACCAGGGACTCTTATTCATTAATTTATTTTTAACCGTACACACTTCCAGTGATGCCTGGGGCCATACTTGTGCGTGGGGCTGGCTTGCTCCTTTGGGTGCTATTTAAAGGTAGTGAGGTGATGAAAGATAGAGTGATGGGTCAGGAGGTTAAAAAACAAAATTAAGACTGTCAAAAACACCCACCAGACCAAAGAGTTTTTATAGAAGGCACAAACCTTTTGGATTTCACATTTGTCACGACTTCTCAGAAATCAAATCCATAGGTTGTGAGACGGTGCTTCCTGTATGCTTGGCTGTGCCCTAGCACTAATGTCACAAGGAACGTAAGTGTGATCATTGCTAGTTGGGTGACTCTAAGTTTATCTAACTTGCTGGTGCACCAGTCAGATCACTCTAGAAGATATTCAAAAGGCTGATTGTTCTTGACACAATAGTGTTTATTTTTCTGCTTCTTCTTTTTAGACCAAGTGTTCATTGTTCTCCCAGTATTAGGTCAGTTGGATGACAGCAAAACCTGAAAGAGAATCCCTCCAAGTTATAGATACTGGGGACTAGGAGCTGCTATTGTAAAACTACGGGGACTCAGAATCCCTAAGCTGCCCAAGGAGAACCTACTTTCTCAGCTCTAGCCCGTTTACATAGCCTCTGGCCCACTGAGTCAACACAGGCCTTGAATGATATGTATTGAGGCTGGCAGGAGTCCCTGTTAGAGATTACGCAACGCTTGTTAATCAGTTCTTTAGACAAGTTAACATAAAAATCCTCAAAACCATGAATAATTGGAGAATGTTGAATGTTTGCCTTTATCTCTCAAATCCATTAGTAACTGGAGTTGAGTACCTTTTCTCTGTTTGATCTACAAAACAGCACTGGAAAAATGCTTTACATTATCTGCATTTGGTCCCACCCTGGATCGTTGTTTAGAAGCATCAACACATGCTTTCTCCCTGGCATAATATGGGCAGCCAGAGTTCTGTGCAAGGGCAGCTAGACGAGTCCGGTGTCATATCCAATCTAGCCACACATATATCCTTGTCTTTATAAAAGGCTTTAACCCTGCCTCAAACAATAAAAAAGCACTTGTGAACTGACCACAGAATTTTTCCATCTTTATTTTTCTTACTTGTTTACTTTTTTTAATGTCAGAACCATTTGTATCATGCGCAGGAATGTCTCCCTCAATGTGAGCTTTGGAGGCAAAACATATTTTTGGAGTGAGTTATTGGCCACATTGTTTCCCTCTCTTTGGGCTGTTTATTTTCTTCCAGAACGGTGTAATAACTTTAATTAAGATTAGCTTTAATTATAAATTACCTAAAGGCCATCACTAAGGTATATTCATCTTATTGATAGAATTGTAGTGAGCTTTGTTTCTCTTAGGGAGGGATAATGATAATGAAGTGCTGGGTTGCTCACAGTTCCACTGTGTGTTAACCAGATTTCGCTGTGCTAGAGCTAGATTTTGGTCTGAATTGGCAGAGGTAGAAGCCATGCTGCATGTTTATCTTAAATCTGTAGGAATTTCCCAAGCCTTGTTTTTCAAAGTCAAGAAGTAGAAAGTAATAAATTCAATCAGGGCCCAGACATGTTTTGTACCTCCTTTACCCTTTGGTCTTTCTTCCTTTTATCCTATTCCACTGAGCTTGTTCTTTGGGGATTGTGGTGCCTGACATCCCTGTCTTCCCTCCCCTAGGACGCTGACCTGAGTGGAGAGACCTCGGCAATACAAGGCTGTCCTGCAACTCTCTGTTGCCTCAGCAGTGTCAGGACGACTGTCTCTTTCCTAAGTAACATAATTTTAAAGAACAATTTGTTCCTTAGGGAATAATGTCTTGGATTGTGGGGAATCCTATTAAAAGTACAACTATTGCGATCATTTGCTTTTACTTTTACCAGCCTCGCTCATAAACCCTCCATCTGTTTGTTGCTTTAAATAGAAGCACATTATAAGAGATTATCACTTGATCAGGCTGCATGTCTGAGTGTTGTGTGTTTTCACATACTCATGTATACTAAGGAATAAAAGAAAGCAAACCACAGATTCTGGATGAAAGAATTTTTTCATTTGTGTGTGTGTGTGTGTGTGTGTGTGCATGAGTGTGTTTCCAGCAGAGACGTATCTTGCACATTTTCAAGGGAAAAATGTCTTTCTTGCTGTTTTCAGGAAATAACCTGGCTGTCTTTCTTTTCTTTGTTAACATGCAGACCAAAAACAATCCACAGGGCCCTTTTCATCAAAACAATAATGGTGTTTAGTACTTGCTACTGGCAAAGGCAGCCTGAATCAGGTCTGTGTGGCTGCAACACAGGTAATGCCCAGCGTGGACACAACAGTACCCATTGCGACTCTTCCTTGGTGTCCATCATTGTAGCCGATCCAGCGTGACCTTTGACCATCTGCTTCTTCCAGTTCTGTTTCCAGGAAGAAACCCTCTCTGAAGAAGGGTGCTACCACTACTCAATTCTCTCTAAGTTGTTCAAATACCATGCAGGAAACTGACTGTTGTGAGTAAGACCTGGAAAGGAAAATGAGACCTGAGAAGCACAAAGAATGTTGATTACCTGTTTATATGACAACTAGACCATCGGCTTGTGGTCCAGTGTCGTGTGTTACTTCTAATGCATCAGCAACCACTCAAATGACCTGAAGAACATTGAAAGGCACAACCACTGTTCAAAATATTGTCTTCCTACAGGTTTACCTGAAATTTCCCAGCATTGGCAGTTCCCATCCTTTGGGTAATTATAATGCTAAGTGTTAATTTGTGACTTTGTGGTTGGGATAGGTCATAAATTGTGTTATTTGTGCATATTATCATATAAACACATGCTAATTCTTCTAGACTATCTTGGAATGTGGCCCAGAGAACAAACAACCTGGGACAAGGGAGTTTTGCTAAGAAACAGTAGGGGAAATTGTAAGTATGTAATATGTTTGGTGGAGAGTTGCTACAGTAGGAATGATATAAATGGCAATAAATGGGATTATGCCAAGAGACAGAATGCAGCAGAATTAAAATGTGGCATCTTCATGGCTAGGAGTAAATTGAGAAGGAAAGGGAAAAGACAGTTTTCTGCCAGTTAAAAGGTTTGCTGATATTCAGTACTACAATGATGTTTAGGGATATTTTATCCTCAAAATGTAATCATGTTTCATATAAATGAGTGTCCACCCATTTAATGTTTTACAAGTTTTTCTGTCCAGCACAATGAAACAGTGTAGAAAAGATGATTCATGGAGCACTGTGGGAACAAATGATCACATGCGTGGCAGCTGCATATGGACAGAGATGACTGTGGCTGGTACCTAATATTCTACAAACTCAGCATCCTAAGGCAAGTGCCTCAGCTCTGGACCAGCTAAAAAATACAAGGTAAACTTATGATCTGGGCAGTCATATGAAAGAGAAAATAGTTTTATGGTCATGGGAAGTCTTCATATATTCATCAAGTTCAGAGGTAGATGGACACCTTGAGAAGATAACACAAAAAACCAAAAATATTTAAAGAAAAAGACGAGTGCCTGTATATGGTACAAAAGATGCTGGCAATAGGATTTAACTGTTATTGGCGTGCAGACAGCGAATAAGAACTTAGCTCATCGAAAGTGTGAATAACATCTTAGTTCAAGTGGATTATGTGGATTAATATGCAGAATATCCTAGAAATCATGTTTATGTTTTGTCACGTCAATTTACTTTAAATAAACTTTTCCTTCTTCGTATTGTAATAGTTCTCTCAATGTTATAAATAGGAATGTATTTTAAAACCTCTGAGATAATTTCCTTTAGATGTGAACTTTCCAATTTAGGTGTTTGTGATGAGAGGGAAAAAGTCCTGACAGTGGACTTAATCACAATATTTAGACTCTTCTAGTTACAGAGTATCAAAATAGGTAAGAATTAATGTATATTATTTATTCACAAAAGCTCAATTTCATAAATCATAGTCTAAATCATAATAATTAAGTGCTACTATAAAAGAAATTTCCCTTGAAGCAAGATACAAATAAAATTTAACACCCAGGTAGAGTATGGTGTTTTAATTTTTATGTTATTACTGTTTAAAGTCATCTCTCATGAAAAAATGTACTCTGACTTCTACCCCACATTCAGTTTTTCAGGTTGTGCTTATGATAGAAACAGCTTTTGGGGGCAAAATATAGCTTAATTAGAACAATAACAATGACAGCTATAAAGTCCTCTAAAACTTTTAACTAATTACTTGGGTTATTAGAGAGAGAGAGAGAGAATGTGTATGAAAGAGTTTGGAA